ACCAATTATTAAGTATAAGCTCAATATATTTATAAATACTAGTAACTTACGCAAATATAATAAATACTGTTTACATATTCAAATCCAATTCCATGAGACTTAATTATTTTCACCAACTTATTCAAAACGTGTTTTGAAAAACGACCAAGCCAAATTGTAAATGTTTTTGTACTAGACTAAATCGAATTATATATGAAGTAACGAAGAGAGATGCTATCAATATTTAAGAATTATTTTATTTAATTATGTTCAATACAACACGACAAGGGCTCGATAAAAAAATGAAATTTGAACATGTTAAATCATTACCATAGCCATGAATGACATTAAATGACACCATGGTACAAAGTACTCTCATGAAGTAATTGATGTTTTGGAAAAACAATAGGAGAACATTCCTCCTTTAAGAGAAAATAAATTCTTCGATTTAAAATATACAAATTTTCTTGCATCTTATTAATAAAACATATCATTTTTTATTTTTAAACGTCAACATTTTGATTAGCAAAATATGTTCTGTTCGATAAAGATTTAATTACCTTTTTGTCTTTCAATGTCGAACTCGATGATTTTGAATATGATATGATCTTTATTTGACATTGCGTGCTATGAAAGAGAAAAATAAAAAATAAAAAAATCATGCAAAAGACGTCATGTTTTAGGATAAACCTTTTTTATTTTTCAAATATGGTGCATTATTGTCTATTTGCCTTGAAATTTCTTTTGAATAGACTCCAAAATAATTTCAACATAGTCTTCATTCCCATTTGACCAGAATTAATCATTTCAAGAAAAAATAATTATTTTTTAATATGGACATGTCAATATTTGCTAGTATATTAATTATTGTGTCCCACATTAAACCATTCACATCGATGGTTGTGCAAATGAAAAATAAAAAGAAGAAAGAGTAATGCTATAGAATAAATTGAATGCCTACCTATTTTAATATTTAATATTGACAATGAGTGATGTGATTTGTTATCAGGTTGAAGATAGAAAAATTAAAACTTATAATGACTTTCTGTCGGTTGATATTCGAAAATATAGTCATGCACGGTGTATGTACTCTTCGACCATCCCCAACCTTTTCTCGTATCTCTTCTTATTTCTTGGTGGCCCAAAAATTTTCCAGTCTTTGGGGTTCAAAAAAAGACTCGAATGTTTGTTGAGTGCCCTAGTCCTTCGAGTCGATGCACTTTAATTTCTCCTTGGTACTACTCTCTACTCTTTTTTTTCTTCATATTTATTTTTAGTCACGCATTCTCAAAATAAAATAATTTTGCACATAAATCAAAAAAATTTCCTACATTTAACCATGTTTTCTACAAAAATCACTAGTGCAAATGTCATTTTTTACACAAAATGGGGCTCACCCAAAACCTAACACTTTTTCATAATATATTTGGATTAATCGAGACAAAGACTTAGCCAATTGAGTTTGACTCTAATGAGGTAACGATGGTTTGGAGAAAGACAATTTGGACAAGCAATGCATCGTTTTCCTCCCTTTGAAAAATATATATGAAGACCGTACTTGAAAAATTAGATCTTTAGACCTCACAATTAATTAATCAAATTAAATAAGTGCATGCTTCATCTTGGTGATTTAAGAATTAGTAATTGTCTTTATCAACATCATGATTTAATAACAACAGTGGTGTGCATTACAAGCATGCTATGCGCTAGATGATCATACTATATTTGTTACTTGACTCAAAGGAGACGTGAAATGGGTCGAGATTATGCCACCACACCTATGAGGCCATACAACAAACTACAGCCTGGTCGGGGCCTGAAGCATGCCTGGATGAGACAACACATTTTGACACCTCTAATGAATATCGACTATAACAAAAATGGAGACAGTTTTGAGTACAAAATCAATATGATTTCAAACTAAAAAATGCCACAAAGTCTGCACGGTACAAAAATTCCATGCATGTTCAGTTTGCAATATGCTCAAATCAACATAATCTTTCAGGGATCTTGATTATACTATTGAGATTCAAGTTAAATCACATACAAAGAAAACATCATGGGTGAAAAATGAAATGCAGAAACTAGATTGAAAACCAATATACACAGTCCTTGTCGTTATGTTGACCATTGAAGAACCAAAAAGATGGTGCTACTTCCGGATTCGAATGCCAGTAATATTTTTCAATCCCATCTTTAAAGCTGTTTTTCGGAAGAGCGCAGGAGGCTTTTCTAAACAAATAGATTGTGAAAACTGGTTGGCTAACTCAACAAGTGAGGTTTTGTCTCTGCCAATTTCATTAATCGAGTTATAATAACCAAGCCAAGCATGATAAGCAGCTTCCTTAACACTAGTATCAATCTTTTTCATCGAGTCTTCCATCTGCAAATGGTTAAATAATTCTAATCATCACATCACAACGAACCAAAAACAAGTAAATGTTTACATCATACGTTCTTCTTCCCTTCTTTCTGAGGGAGAGTGTTGGGTTGGATTTGAAACCGTGGGACTAAGCATGCTTGGTAAATAAGCCAGCAGATTTTAAGCTGTGAGTCCCTCAATTTTTTAGCTGAATATAATTCCACCTACGCAGCTTATTCCATCTTTTAAGCTCTGGGTCCAAAACATGCTGACTTGGCACAACTTCGGCCACAAAATGGGGCTTAGTTTTAAGCTATAAGAGCATGCTTGGGGTGGCATCTTAAAGATAAAGCTCCAAATGTATGGCTTATTTTCGCTTATTTTCAATGTAGGTGGGGGACAATAAAAATTGTATTGGGCTGATACATAAAAGAGGAGCAAGATACACATTCGTTGCTCATCTTAAATATAGGCCACCCCAAACATGCTCTAAGCCTTTCCAAACAAGAATAATAATAAGTTGTTTTTTAGGGAAAAAATAAAAAATCTATCTACAGCAGAAATGAGATTGCAGACCTTTACTATTGCATCAGGATCCAAATGTGGCGATGTGCATTTCTCAACGGGAAGGTCCTTAATATCATCCATGAAAAATTGTTCCCAAGGTGCAAGCAATAGAATTCCTTCGCCTTCTTTCCCCTGCCGCCCTGTTCTTCCGAGACGATGAATATACTGTTCTCGATCTGAGGGTATACCCATCTGATAAGAAAAGACCTTAAGAATCGGTTGTTGGGAACACGGGTGCTAAATACTTATAAACAATATATAGCATATTGTGCATTCAGATAGTAGCAGAAATAAAGCAAATATGTACATATTTAACATTTGCTAGGAAAATAGCACGTGGGAATTACAATCAAGGACTCAATAATGTTGTATAGAGAATCCACTAATGGAGATACAAATTGACCATCCTGAGGATAGAAAATGTAGGTGTGTTGTAACAACTAATATTTGATTTCTTACAACTCTTGTACAAAGTAGAAGTTGCTAGAACGGAGCACCGAAGACCTCAATGACACCATAAAAGCTTATGATACACGGACCCTCCTACTGGTGTTACATGTCCGTGTCCAACACGTGCCATGTCATGTTTGTTACCGACACTCCCAGAAGGGCCAGAACACTGTTGACACCTACTATATGTACTTTTCCTTCCCAACAGTGTAATATCTAGTTTAATTATAAGTTATTTTAATATAACATATATTTACTAAGCCAATTTATAAGATTTCATGAACAAAAATCAAAACTAAGAAAAGAATTAATTTTATTAATAGATGAAAAGTGTAAACAAATAGATAGAACATATAAGTCTACAATTTTAAAGTACTTAAATTAGCGTTTCCGGCTGTGTCATGTCGTGTCCAGAATGTGTGCTCAAGTCCGTGCAACATATTATAAACGTAGCCATAAAATCTTAACCTTCAAACAAATAACATGTTAAATCCCACACAAGCAAACAGCCCACCAATCATGTATCCAAGACGAAATCTGTAAAGATCAATCGATAGAAGATACTTCTTTTTCTCCCACCAAAAATATATCTTGTGCACTTGAAAATATAATTCACAGTTGGCTTCACACACATACTCTGTATTAAAAAGGAAATACCAATATTGCAACAAAACCATGACGACAGAAACTACTGAAATCATCTGTGGGTAAAAATGACCAAAAAATCGTGGTGAAAAGGTGCATCTCAAATATTAAAAATAAAATAAAAGGGAAATGTGATCTCTATTAGATTTCACAAATACTCCTGAATGAAAAAATAAAAATTACAAGAAAGCTGCAATCTTACTGCATACACATCGAAGGGTAAATGAAGGGAGAACAAGCAAAATCTGCAATGTTCTTGTCATATAGGATGCTAGCTTTCTCAGAGTTAGGCTACATGTTTGTTAAATAAGTATATTTCCTATATGAAAGCATAGTTCCAAAAGCTAATCTATAATTTAACGACTCCTTTCCTTTACCTGAATAACCAGTGTAACATCAGGATAATTCATCCCTCGGGCTGAAACATCAGATGTTATCAGAATCAATTCTTTCGATTCCTTGAATTCGTCAGATATTCTAGTACGATAGGATTGAGGCTTTTTGGAATGAATCTCTCTGACATTTAATTTCATCTCACGCAAAAGGGAAAACATGAGGGATGTCATCATTGCTGTTGTACAGAAAACAATAACCTGGGAGGAAGCCAAACAATAATCAATAATAAGGGGAAATAAACCAGTCAAAAATTTTGTTTATATATCACAAAAACTACAGCAACCTACCTTGTAACCAAGTACTTGAGATATATGGCTTTTTATAAGATGGTGTACTATTTGAAAATGTTGTTCGTGTGGTGCCACATAAAAAAATTGCTTAACCTGCTTGACAAGTAAAAAATGAGCACCAACTAATCACCAATCAGTATATCAACTTATATATAGTAACATAAACATGAATTCTTGATCTTAGCAGCCTCAGTTTTCCATATAGGGAGTAGGAATTTAACACTTCATCCCAAATAAAATTTGACAGCATAAAGTAATTAAAATGTACCTTGGAATGAGTTTCCAGATAACCAATGCCCACTGTATTAATGTAGGCATGTTCCCGTTTCAGAACGAGTTGAGATATGCGACGGACCTGAAAATTGACAATATTGACTTTCAAACCAAAGAGATTAACAGGTTCTCTTATTCATCGTTAGCATCATTCAGCAGAACAATAAGTAATAACAAAAAAGTTTGAACCTCCTTTGGAATTGTAGCTGAAAAGAGTAAAGACTGCCTCTGGCGTGGCAAACAATCAACAATTTTCTCCATATCCTTTCGAAATCCAAGGTCTAGCAAGTGGTCTGCTTCATCGAGTATAAGCATCTTCAGTCCCATCAACCGCACAGACAAGCCAGACTTGTTTTCGACGTGATCCAACAGTCTACCAGGAGTTGCAACAATAATCTGCAAAAATCATACCCAAAAGTTAAAATATAATTATTAACCATTGCCAACAGCAAAAAAATATAGAAACAGGTCTGAATTACAAAGTTGTTCAATTATGCTAAACATTTAGGCATACCTGACATGGAACTGATTCTAGGTGTTTTTGATCAACTTTAAATCGTGTTCCTCCAATTAGTGTTTGCACACCAATTCCTTCATGGTACTTCAAGAGAACATTAGCTTCTGCCGCAATTTGACTTGCAAGTTCTCTTGTGGGACAGATAATAAGAACATATACAGGTGGGGATCTTGGGACCCGCCGATCTATTTTACTACATGATGCCTTCAGAACTGTTTCAATAGCAGGAAGCTGTTTATGTTTAGTAGCAGTGACAGAAAAAACAAAAAGGGTGCAGGATGATGAAAATAGAAATACGAGAAACATAAGATTTGTGATATACCAGAAAAGCGACACTTTTGCCCGTGCCAGTTCTGGCTTTGACCAAAGCATCCTTACCTGTTCAGAGTAAAAGATTGTGAGAGCAATAAAAAAGTAAGAGGGAAACAAATTCTAAGAACGCAAAGAAGAAAAGAAAGTGAAAATATAGATCCTTGCAAATTATTCCAAGGACGATAAGAAATGCCAACAAAGTGTACAAGGCAAAAAGGATTCATGAGGTTTCACAACTCTGCTCTCTATCGAACTGTGAATTTGATTAAATAGCAGAGTCAATTGGATTCTGACACTGGCAGGATACAATAAATCCTGCAAGCCCAAAATGCTATTCTTGCACAACATGATTTGAATGTGAGACCTGTTTGTTTCCGAGGACAATGTGGGAAAAGAAAAACAATGAGAAAAATAAAATTTTCATTTATTCAGTTGAACTGCTGAAAAAATCTGGAAATTTGAATCATGACAAAGTGGATAAGTAATCTAGGATACAACCAATAAAATGCTCAACTTGTACATATTTTTACATAAAGTTTCAAAAAATAAAAAGAATATCATCTATTCCTTTCTTGGTAACAATATTAATATTTAAAAAATTACTAATGGCTGCGAACATATGAACTGGCTGCCAAGAAGACAAACCAAATCATTTAAAATTATATTCAAGATCTAAGATTTTTTATAGCTATTACATACATGAAAACCTTAGTCTCATCATTGCTAAAACTACTTGTGTTTGGTGCTGCAGATCAATAGTCTCATCATTGCTAAAACTACTTGTGTTTGGCGCCGTAGATCAAAACAAGCAGAACATGTTTACAAAAAGTTTAAACTCTTGAAGCAATACAATATAACCTTCAATCCCAGGTTCATGGCAGCTATATTCATTTATCCATTATAAATCTTCCATTCCAAAAGAGAGAAAAAAATTGAATGAAAATCTCTTAGTTATGTGCTTTATGATGATCAACTTCAACTCCACTGAAAGGGTGGTTAAAATGAACAAGTTCTAACCAACTAATCCAGAAACTAAACAATATGTTCACTAAGACAATGTTATATAGAAAAGAAGTCCATAAAATTTACTACGCACCTTCAAGGCAAGCGGAAAGTGTAGCATCTTGGACCCTGGTCATTTGCAAATAGCCTGCCTCTGCAAGTGCTCGGACTGACAACGAAGATATATCACACTCATCAAACCTGAATAAGCATTATCCATAACAAATTATTAACAAAAAAGTACGACGAAATTAGGATATTAAAAACCTCTAATATACAAAAATACCATTTTCATATATAAAATCCCACATACCTTCTTGAACTAAGAAGGGATTCCTCTTCGCCCTTTTCTCCTCCATCTTCCTCTAAACTCTTCTTGTTGAACTGCTCCCTGATTGCCTCAACTTGCTGAGATAAATCATTCTCTTCTTCCAGAAACTTCAAAGGTACTCGCTTCTTTGTCTTCATGTCGTATTTTCCCAATGCTGCACTGCTACCCACAATCCTTCTCGCTCTACTTTCCATTTCCTCCTCATCATCATAATCATCAGTGTCATCGTCATCCGATGAGTCCATTTTATTACCGCGAAACCTCGGCCATCTCACTCTCCTCCCGCCAGAGGACCCTTCTTTCGAAACTGCACCATCATTGCTTGTTAAACTGTTGTTACTTGCAAAATTCAGCCTTTTACTTCTAATTGTACTCCCCACATCCGCAGTATAATAACGCCTCAAATTTATTAATTTATTTGTACTCAAAAAAATCCCATAACTATATATTAAACCAATTCCAGTATGCACTTTTTTTGAATACTCAATCAAGCGATTCCCCATTAAATTACTACCCGACACAGTATAAGTAGAAAAATTCTTCGATCTAGAGAAACCACTCAATTTCCCCGAAAGTTCGCCCACACCATTCTCTTTCTTACCACTTATACATGATTTCTCCAAAATCAGTTTCCGTAAGTTAATAGGCTCACCAAAAACCTGGCTTTTTGGCAGCTTAGGCACCTGAGTCCTAACAGGGCCATCACATTCATTCCACAAATCCTCAGCTCCCTCCTTCATGAACCGATCTGCGAGGGCCTTGATGTGGTCTTCGGGAGATAACGGTCCATAATTGGGCCGGTTTTGCTCGGGTTTTTGAGAACCCGGCTTCTCAGGATTAGCAAGCTTGGCCCGGATTTCAGACCGTACTCGAGCCTGGTAGACTTGCTTTTCTTGCTCAAGGAGGCGTTTCTCCTTCTCCCGAGCTTTTTTCTCGTGCATTCGCTTCCACTGCCATTTGTTGAGACCGCCCGGGAAGGTGCGCGGGCCACCACCCATTTGGCGGAGGAAAATTTGGCTGTGGCGGAGAGTTTTGAGAAGGGGTTTTAATTGATTCCAAAGGAAATCGGAAGAGAAATGCATTGTGGAATAGGGAAGGAAATTGGTATTCTTTAGGGTTTAAGGTGGGAATGGATGGAAACGCAAATGGGTTTTAGGGATTCTAGGCTAATTTTCAGAAATGGCCCTCATACTAATGCATTTGTTTAAATCAGGACTTAATTCTTTCAATTTTGTCACATCCATCCTCAAATTATCAACATTTTGGTGTGCTAACTGTCGTTTCCATTAAATGATGTCTGGTTCACTGTAGATCTCATTTCAAAAATAGAATCGAATCACATCCAGCCTTAATCTCACAAGGTATTTATACTCTTTGCCTGTAATCCAATCAAAATATCTAGATTGAAATCAAATTGCACAAAACAGACTCGAAACATGACTTTTATCCAACTCAATTCCAAGTAGGTTTTTACTTGCACCCAAAAATGCTCAATCATAGAAGCAAAAATTACAAAGGTACACTAAAATCAGGGGCTCGAAAGTCAAATATTCGATTTTTTAACATTTCAATGAAAAATATACCCAAAAATTAAAGATTTTCAGACACGAACGTTGTAAAATTCTCATAGCTCTACAATAACTATTGAGAAGTTACAATGATTGTAACCTTTTTTCTAAAAAGATAACTAAAGTTAACAGTCATTGTAATTTTCTGTAAATTCCAATTAAATTTAAAAAATCATATTTTTTAATTTTTCATCTAAAAACAGTACAGTGCCTAATTTCCACAAAAAAATTCCGAACTCGTCTTACTTGATAGAACTGAGTTTGACGTTAATTTGCCTTTTCTATCAAAATATCCAACATTTCAGAAAAATTTGTCTATTGTTTATAAAGAGGAGGAATTTATGAGAGTTGCTTTGTCCATGTAAAACAAGAAACGGTAGCAGAAATATAAGTCTAAATTTTTAAGTTGATTATTTATCAAAAGTTACTAAAAAATCATGTTATCAGATTCAGGAAGAATTGTAGATGTGTCTGCAGCTATAGGAAAACTTCAAGAATAAGAATTTATCACCAAAATTTAGCTTGGAATCAAAATATTGCCTTTGTATCTATCTACATATAGTGTCGAAAGCAGCTGATGCCTATACAAGGATTCTTGCCAAATAATACCCGAGTCTGAGTGAACTGTGTGTGTCCGGGTTTTATGAAGACGAATATGAACTCAAACATGGGAATTCACACAGTCAAAGATGGGGCAAAAGTCCATGTTATGTTGGCTTTGTTTCCTAAGGGAAGACAGTCTAGCTTCTTCTATCAGGGAATGCGAATGGCGAATGCACTAAATTTAAAACAGGATCTGCATCTTCTACTAACTTATATTGCAAGAAATAAAGTAATAATTGCAAGTTGCAACATTACCTTGCTAACCAAAACATGCTCCTTGAGCTGAATCTGGTACTTAAAATGCCATCTTCAACCGGCATGCACAATCTGGCACCAGATTGTAGTTAGATTAGGAGATAATTCATTCAAGAATCAGAGAGTATGAACATATTTCATGAAAGTGGAAAAAAAAGGGACACTTCCAAAACCATGCTCAAAATAAATTCACCTGAAATCTGGCTCTACATTTTCTAGCTCGTTGCTAGGTCTGAGTTATTGAAATTAGAGAACTTGCCAGTTTCAAAGGGTCATCTAACAAGGGTGTGCTCAACTAGACTTGAGTTTGTATTTTGCTAGATTCTCACTTTCTTCAACAACAAATTTTTAATACACTTCAAAATAAAAAATACCAGTGCAATACTCCATCATCAATACAACAAAAGCATACAGAATATTTTACACAGTAGAGTCTAAACATTTTCTACATTCTTTTAATCAAGACAACTTGAAAGCAATAGAGTTGGACAGTGGGACTTGAAACGTCTAAACTTGTAAAACCTGACTAGGATCAAGCAAAAAATTTTAACAATCAATTCAACACCAGTCAAGGATACAATCCACCTTTAACAGAATGATTGTTTATTATCAACTCTTCCCTGAAAATTGTTTACATTTCATACACTACGTGAAAATGCTTTAGCGGTATAATACTCCATATCGCATAGAAAGCATACAACATATTCTCATACAATAAAGGGCAAAAACATCATCATGCCAAGCCCAATCTTTTGACACTCAAAAGTAATGGGGTTAGATTTCAGATTTTTGAAAGGAAACACTACATACATCCAAGAAAATTACCAAGATTGAAGACATTAAATCAATGCGCTCTATCAAGCAGTAATAAAATGAGTGTCAATTCCATAAACCTAACACTTCATTCAATCTTTTTCGAGGATATAATATGAATTTTGGTAAACAGCTGAAACCTTAGAATCTAAGCCCTAAACTTATTTAGCAAGTTCTCAACAGAACATTTCTGATGAGATAATATAACTTCCTATAAACATCTGTCATCTTAGAACCTAAGCCCTAAACCTATCTCCATTAAACCAACTCCAACCAGGAGACAACAAACGCTTGTCCCGATGAACCCAACCCTAGGCCAAGGGTTGTCAACTAAATTCGAGTTGGTATTGCTAGACTCTTTACTTTCTTTAACTGTGGAAAACTCGAAATGTTTTATACACTACAGAAAATGTTTTACCAGTGAAATACTTCATATTCTATACAAAGAAAGCACACATGATATTCTCATACAATAAAGAGCCTAAAAATTTCCTACACTCTTTCAATCAAAACAACTCAAAAGCAATAAACGATTGGGTTTTCAGATTGTCTAAACTTGGAGCACTTGATTGGGATCAGGCGAAAAAGTCTAACAATCAATTCAACACCAGTCAAGCTACAATCATCTTTAACAGAGGGATTGTAATTCCAGAATGCTCTCCACAGATTTCTCAGATTATTCAACTTCCGTGTTCAGTCATATTAAGCTCAAAAGATCCTGAAGACAGAGGTCTATCTATGCGGAAATGACCTACCTTACAAATTCGCATCTTTGGGTAAGGAAATTTCAGCTTGGAAGCCAGTTTAGACACCAAATTCAGATCAGTAGGCTACAATCAGTCTTTAACAGAGGGATTTTACATTATCAGCTCTTCCTTGAAATTTGTCTCTATTTCATATGATAGGAAAATGCTTTATTAGTATAATACTCATATTCAACACAAAGAAAGCATTATCATAATTTCATTCAGTAGAGCCATAAAGGGTCACCAAAATATCATCATACAAGAGCTTTTGACACTCGAGTAATGGGTTTAGATTTCAAATTTCAAAACGAATCACTACATGCATTCAAAAGAGTACCAAGATTGATGAGATTCAATCAATGTACTATCCCAAGCACTGATAAAATGAGTGTCAGTTCCATAACCTTCAATCGATCATGCAATCTAAACAACAAATAGAACAAAAGCAAACAGATCAGAGCTTCCAGCTATAACTCCAGCAGAAGATTCAAAACCCATACGCTCAAGCACCACTAAAAATCGTGCACATTCCGTTAAACTTCTGACGTCCGAGTAAAGATATCAAATTTAAGATAACACATAAACCCATGGAAATTACCTTAAATCAAATTATGCTTCTCCCAATAATCCCAGCCTCTTAAATTTTAATTATTTACAAATTCATCGTAATCATGAACTAAAAGAACGAGAGAGAGAGAGAGAGAGAGAGAGAGGCTCACACAATGGCGTCGGGCAACGGTGGAGGTCGGAGGTCGGCGTCGGCGTTGGCGTCGACGACTCGATGGCAGCCGACAACAGGTCACAATACTCACAACTCACTCAGCGTCGGGCTTCGCAGCGGGAGGGACTAGAGAGAGGGTTTGGTTTGTCTTCTGTGAATGCTTAATCAGTTAGGAAGCATATGGGCTATGGGCCTATGGCTAATCACCATACAAAGCAGCCTATGTATAATATTAATGGGCCTAATTTAAAATTGAAAAACCCAAAACAAAAGGCTCACAATTTAAATAAATAAATAAAATTGGGCCATGTCCAACACTCACCTTCCTCCATCGCTTCAAGCTTCCCATATTCTGCAACAATGGCGACTGCAAAAAGGCCTCCATCAAAATCCAAGCTGTAAACTCCGACAGAGCCATCACAAGCAGCCGTGACACCTCATCGGTTCATTAGATTTTAAAAGAAGTGAGTTTGGTCACTATTGCTAGTTGAAATTGAATTGCCTAAAATGTTTCGAAATGCTTTTTGCGTATGGATGATTTGTTATTAATTAGCTAATGTGTTGAAACTATTAATAGCATTAAAGGGTCCTTAAGTTCAAAATTTGACATGAAAGATCTTGATGATGCTAAGAAGAATTTAGGCATGAATATTATAAGAGACGGAACCAAACTTGTTTTAGTTCTAAAGCAGAGAATGTATGCTGAAAAACTAATTAAGAAAATTTAAATGTATATTACACTAATTGTACCATTATCTAATCACTTTGGGCTAAGTAAAGATTAGTATCGTAATACGTCCAATGGCGAATTTAGAAATTGTCTTGAGTTAGGGCGATTGTCGAGTCACTGACCGTCTACCATCAACTGTTGATGATCGCAATAGCGACATCATTTATTAATATTTAATTAAACAATATTAAAAATTCTTCAATCAATATATAAATATAATAAAACTTAAAATCATATGGATATGAAAATATAATTCCATACAACTTGATATTATTAAAAAAATACATGATACAACTTCGCTCTGTAACTGTAAGCTCAAAAAACTAAATTTTTATGCAAATAAGATATTGAAGAGCAAAGTAAAATCATCACAGCTGTAGTCATTCCATAATTTTCATTTCGAGATACTATCATTTATTCTTAGTTCAACTTCTCTAGAACATGGAAAATTAGAGTAAGCATAATCACATCACCAATCAAAAGCTTTTCCATTCGACGAGCCTTAAAATCATTTAAATTTCTAAACAACAAATAGAACAAAAGCAAACAAATAAGAGCTTCCAGCTATAACTCCAACAAAAGATTCAAAACCCATACACTCAAGCACCACTAAAAATCGTGCACATTCCGTTAAACTTCTAAAGTCCACGTAAAGATATCAAATTGAAGAAAACACATAAACCCATAGAAATTACCTCAAATCAATTTTTTTTCTAGTCTTAGTGTCTACAGTATTAGTGTTTTCTTCCAATTTTATGAATTCCGATTTGGGGATCCTCATTCTTGTAATTAATTGTGTTTTCTGATTTAAGGTTTTCCGATTTAGAGATTCAAGGAATTCTGATTTAGAAAATTTAGGAATTTCTGGTTTAGAGAAATTGACCTCGTAAAATTTGGTTGATGTGATAATATGAACCTGTTTCCTTTGTATTGTTTGACATTTAGTTGTTGTTTATAATGTGGTTGATTGTTTGTTTATATCAATTATGGACAAATACTTTAAACGTATATCTACATTGTATTGTGATGAGCAAAATATCAATTAAAGAAATGTTCGAGATAAAAAGGAATGAAAATGATGTTGATCAAAACGTTGTCAATGCCATGAGATTGGTGCAAATATGTAAAGCATAGCTCCAAACCATGAGGGATGATGGATGAGATTCTTTTCCGTAATGATTTATTCGTTCTGTAAAGCTCACGAGATCAATGTTCTCAATATGGATATGTTCATGACTCTATATCGTTCACGACGTAAGATGGTGAGAAATTTGCATCATTTTCGTGAGGAAATCTTTATGCCATCATTGATATGCAACTTCAAGAGTTAAATGATCATTTTTATAAGGTAAATAGTGACGTGCTCTTTTGTGCTGCGGGTCTGTATCCAAACAATTCATTTGCTGCTTTTGACAGAACAAAGTGATTCGACTATGTTAGTATTATCCGGTAGATTTTGATGCAGCAAATATCTTGGAACTTGATGAACAGTTAGATAGATATATTCTTCACATGCACATTTAAGAAGATTTTGGAAAATTACAAGGCCTTAGTGATCTTGTACAAAAGTTGATTGCAAAAAATAAACATGAAGTATGTACATTCGTCTACAAGCTTATAACATTAACATTAGTTCTTCTCGTGGCTACTGCTATAGTTGAGAGACCATTATGTGTAATGACTTATGTAAAAAGTCATATGCACAATTGAATCGGAGATCAATAAATGAATGATAGTTTGATTGTATATATTGAGAATAATATATTTCACAAAATTGAAAATGGTGTAATTAGGAACATTGTCAAAGTATAAAAATGCATAGAGAACAATTATAATAAGACGTCCCTTTAATGTTTTCGCTACTTTTTTGGAATGTTTGATTGTGCCCCCTAACTCAAAATGTCTGCTTCCTCTACTACTTTTAAGATACTTAAAAAGTTCAACCAATGTTAGTTTAGTGTTTCGTCTTTGTACTTAAGGTATAAAACTAAAAGGAATGTTGATTCAATTATATTAGTGATAGGGAGAACAAAAAATCAACCACGTCATACATGTTTACTTTGTGTAATGCATGATTCAGCTGCAACATATAGTGGCATTATTCAATATTGGATCTGAATATGTGGCAATGATCGATGCTATTAAGGAGGCCTTGTATCTTAAAGGTTTATTGAATGGATCGGGTTGTTGTGGTGTTATCTGATAGTTAATCTTCCATCCAATTGTTCAAGAATCACATTTTCAAGTCATAACTAAGAACATTGATGTTGGGGTTTCAATTCACTAGAGATCTTGTATCTAAAGGTGTAGTCAATTTGGCGAAAACTCTTTCTCAATAAAATTATTTAGACATGAATACCAAACTGTTACCATTGAATAAGTTTAAGTTATGTTAAGTATCTTAAACATTGACACGTGTTAAGTAGTTTGTTCAAACAATTCTTTAAGTTTACTTCTGTGATTTGCTTGCTTAGTTTAGTTTCTAGTTGTAGGTACACGAGACCATGACCCAACTTATGTGACTCTTTCTTGAAACTATATTATTTATCATCTAGTTCAAAGTGGAAATTATTGAACCAAGTGTAACCCAAACGATGATTGAGTCCATTCGAGTGAAAATGCGACTTATACTAGAAAGGGCAAAAAAAAAAAAGCGTGAGAATGATCAAGAAGCAATCCTAGCCTTGCGTTATTTAATACTTGATTTGGACCATTGGAAGAACAGTATATTACAATCTACTTTTCGCTTTTAGGGTTATCTTAACTCATGTAGCTTTTATTGTCTAGTGTTTTTCCCTCTTACTTCTTATTGGGTTTTGATACCCAATAAACCTCGGACAATGATGATAAAGTGGGTTGGATTAAATAAATATCAACACCATAGTGATTAGCTCAACTCAAAAAAAACTTGAGCTATTGAAAGTGACTGAATTAATTAAAGTTGCTCATGGTCCAATTCAATTGAGGATGACCCATTTGCGTTGGCCCATTTTTAGCCTTGGTTTGTTGGCCCATTTAAGGAAATATTCTTGGCCCAACTTTTGTTTATCTGACCTAAAGCTCTATATCCATCTTCCTTTTGCATGTAGCCATTTTTGTGTGTACACAACAAAGTGAAAGAAAGAGGCAGTCATTCTTGGGAGAATTTTGGAGTTCAAAATTTTTGAGCTATTGAAAGTAGCTGAATTAATTAAAGTTGCTCATGGCCCAATCCAATTGAGGATGACCTATTTGTGTTGGCCCATTTAAGGGAATATTCTTGGCCCAACTTTTGTTTATCTAACCTAAAGCTATATATCCATCTTCCTTTTGCATGTAGCCATTTTTGTGTGTGTACAACAAAGTGAAAGAAAGAGGCAGTCATTATTGGGAGAATTTTGGAGTTCAAACATTGATTTCTTCTTCATCTCTTTGAGAAATTACTGCCATCATCCATCATGATCCTTTGTGGGTTAGTAAGAGGGCAGCCGGGGTGGGTTTGAGGTTGTAGGTTCAAACTTATTTTGGTTGGTGTCCGATTGATATTGTTGGTTCAAACTGAGCCCGATTTTATACAAGATTTGAATTATTTCCACAACACTACTCTCTGAATTTGATCATTGTAGTGTGAGTGAGGTTGTAATGTTGTATGGATTCGACAATCAAATACATTAATTGATTAAAATTTATGGTAGGAGCGGACACGATCCGGTTCGATCCAATTTCAAAGAGAACCAAACCGAACCTAGTACCAATGGAAATTTTAAAAATAAAACCATTTGTTTCATAGCTAAATCTGGAACTGAACCGAAACCGAACCAACTAGTTCCAATTTGGTCCCGTCCAATTCCTTACATTGAAAATGTTAAAATAAAAGGTTCACTAATAAAAAATTCGGAAGATGCTAATGACACGATGCTTTAACAAAATATAGAAGAACTGCACATACTATAGAAAAATTAAAAGAAAACTAAGTATACAAATTTAAAAATAATATTAAAATAATATAAGTTACTAACATTAAGCAATCATCAACCTATATAAACTGCATAGAACATAACTATTAAACAAACATGCCATTAAAAGCCTGTTTGGGAGTGATTTTGAGAATTGATTTTTTGATCGTCAGGAGAAAAGTGGGGTTCACCTGTAAAAGAAAAAGTCAAATATGACAGCTGGAATAGTAAAATAACGGTCAAAAAATCAATTTTTTGGGTCAAAAAATCGAGCCCAAACATGCTCTAAACAAGAATTTCCATTAATTGCCTTGAAGTTGCAAATTTTCACTAAATCTACTTTCAAATTGGAAATATCCTAGTGACAAGGAAACATGGGTCTAAATTCGAAACAATAAGTTTACAAAAAAATTTCTATGGTTTGTAATTTGCATCTTGGGAATGAAATTATTATAATATTTATAAAATTATTTAGGTGTAAATTTACCTAATATTCTAATTT